CAGTACACAGATACAACCAGGCTATACAGGTACAGTACACAGATACAACCAGGCTATACAGGTACAGTACACAGATACAACTAGGCTATACAGGTACAGTACACAGATACAACCAGGCTATACAGGTACAGTGCACAGATACAACCAGGCTATACAGATTACAGGTACAGTACACAGATACAACCAGGCTATACAGGTACAGTACACAATACAACCAGGCTATACAGGTACAGTACACAGATACAACCAGACTATACAGGTACAGTACACAGATACAACCAGACTATACAGGTACAGTACACAGCTACAACCAGGCTATACAGGTACAGTACACAGATAAAACCAGGCTATACAGGTACAGTACACAGTTACAACCAGGCTACACAGGTACAGTACACAATACAACCAGGCTATACAGGTACAGTACACAGATTCAACCAGGCTGGGTAGACCAACTATGTATAGAGAAATATAAACCTACTTGTTTATCTTGTAAAACGCTATGTTCAGGGTAATATAAACCTAAGGTTATCTGGTAAACTATTATGTTTAGGGTAATATAAACCTAAGTTTATCTGGTAAACTATTATGTTTAGGGTAATATAAACCTAAGTTTATCTGGTAAACTGTACTCTGACCTGAAGGATGCCCGGCCTAGATTAGCTGTAGATACCTGTCTTCACATTCTCTACCTACTTACACCATACGATCTAGCAGAGTCAATATATTACACAGCTTCAGTCTATCATAGGGTAGGTTAAACAATTATTTTTACAATATTAACAAATCATACCTTGCTATTGTAGGACAATTTTCTTTAGAATTCTATTGGGAGAATGATTTGGCTCCAATATTAAGTTACTAGTTTCCTAAATAAAAATTCCTTTGATCATTTAGAAAATTTTTATCATTATCTTTTTTATTTTTTAGGTTTATCTCTCCCTCTCTCCTCCTGATCTAGAAGTTGCAAGATTTCTGGGAATAACGGAGAATATTATCGTTGGTTTAGTCACAGGGAGAGGATTCCCTAAAGCCTTGAAACCCGTTCTATCCAGGTTCTATTTATCCCTGGCTCTCCTTGATCTCTGGAACACGGTTCCGATCCACACGGTCGCGGAGAAATTTAGTATCTCCCGGGGGGAGGTTCAGAATCTCATGTCCTCCGCTGCCAGCTTCTCCTCCTCTGTCCTCCACTTCTGCCTTGAGATCGAGGAGTTCTGGGCTTACCAGGAGCTCCTGGAACCCTTCACTAAACGATTAGCTCACTGCTGTAGTCCGGAGCTACTCCCACTCCTCGACCTACCGGGAGTAAGGGCAGGACGGGCTAAACTTCTTCTCCAGGCTGGATACTCAACCCTGGGGTGTATAGCTAAAGCTGAACCCGGAGATCTGGTGAGGGGGATACCAAACCTATCCCACAAGGCCGCTAAACTGATTGTACAGAGTGCGAAACTCCAGCTCATAGAGAAAGCAGAAGGATTACATGATGAAGCTGATATAGTTCTTCTTGAAATAGCTTAGTTTTTTTTCGGGGGGGGGGGGGGCATATAATGATAAGAATTAAAATTATAGTTTTTTTTTTTTTTTTTTAGGGGAAGGTTAAATTTTTGTTTTAAAATATGTCAAATATTACAAAGTTTACAAATTATATTTTCATATATTCATGTAATTCTGTAGATGATTCAAGAATTTATGCAAGTCCTTAAAGCTAGTGGATTATTATCTTTCAATAAAATATCCTTATGTTTATGTCGTTGTTCTACAGAAATGTTCTGACCAAGAAGTTTGAAATAGAAGGGAGATACAATTGAGGCGGCCCGCCCTACCAAATGATTATACATGCTTTGCAGACGGTACTCCATTTGTATAAGAAATATGATCAGAGTAGGTTATTGTATACGGGCCCACGGGGTGATTGTACATCAGACAAATATTTCATATACAAATGGAGTACCGTCTGCAAAGCATGTATAATATGGTAGGGCGGGCCGCGTTAGTTGTATCTCCCTTCTATTTTGTACTCCTTGGCTCTGACCAATACAGTGAGAGAGAGGGGGGTGCAGAGCCCCCATGGGCCTGGCTAAATGATCTTCAGAGCCTCCTGATTCGCAGAATGACCTCCAAGCGCCTCTAAAACCATCGCCTTGCAGCTTTGCAATTCTGTCTCCGAGTATTTCACAAAACTCGATAGTTTTTGCGCGACACTTGAATTTGCGCTTTTATTGTTTGTTAAAATGATAAAAAATAATTTGACTATCTTTATTAAATCTGCAATAGTTTTGCCACAAGTTTAGGAATTTGTAAAATTTTGTAAACGAAAGTTTTAATCTCAATTATTGTAGATTTTCCAATACAAATGTATTAATAAAAACTTTTATCATGTTAAGATTTTCGGAAAAGGCTGTTGGTGGATGTAAAAGCCAAATATTTTTTATTGGAGATCAGAATGCTTCGCGGGGAGACACAATTTCAGAGGCTCTGAGAGGCAATGAGATGGTTTTGATGAGGCTCCTGAGCCCAAAACTTAAGACAGGGTATCGTTATGAAAACCAGTTTTAGAACCCGGGTTTCATAAATGGGGTAATTGGCAGTTTTCTGAATATCAATACTTGTGTTATGAAATATTATTTTCTTTAGTTTCTTAATATTCTCTATTTTTTTCGAATCTTTTAAATCAAAATCTACACAAATGTTTAGACCCCAAACAGGAAACTCGGGAGTTTCGTTCAACGATACTCTTTTAAATTTTGGGCTCTGAGATCACTTCCTGGGGCTCATGTGGCTCTGAACACTATCACTCATACGATTTACCTTTAAATTATTTTCATACTCGCACAGGAAATAATTCCCTAACACTTTATCAACCCCATCTCTTTATCTTAATCGATTAACTCTATATCTAAGGGGCGCTAAATACTAAATTTAACAAGTCCCGAAGACAGGAATTTCCATAGGGATTAGAAAACTTGTATAATTTTGTTATAAACAATTGATGAGTTTTGGTTCACAGAAAATTTTCATAATTTGTTTTAAGTTAAAGATGTTTAAAAGCTTGATATAAATTTAGATTTAAACTTAAATCTGAAGTCGTCTTCATTATATTGATGCATCGCTTACCACCTTACCTGATGCAGTTGATATCACTATCTACATCATATTCTTAAGATCTTAAATTCTTGATGATGGTTTCGATTCTAGATGAGCCTTCAATATATGATGTTAGCAACACTGAATCCAGGATTTTTCAACGAGTACCACATGATCTCATGTAAAAAATACAGTTCACTATAAAGTTAGATACAAGTACAAATGAATAATAACATTTGAACACTGTTTGTGAGCAGTTTCCCACCATTAAAAAATGTTATTTCATCTCATTCCACATGTGATAATTCTAAATCTGTTTAACATGTAAATTTAAATAGAGCCAAAGTTTGTAGTCCCTGAGGAAAACAATCGTGGATATAGTATTGCTTAAAGGAACTGTATGCGCGATTTCAAGTAAACCTCCATGCAAAGATTTTTGTCTCGAAGAGTGTTTATTTCTGTAAGTTTCTTTATTGCTCCCAATAAGAGAAACAGCAAATACAAATGAACAGTTTAAAGAAACAAAAACATTGATATCTAATTTATTGTCATCTTTGCATGGAGGGCCAATTGAAATTAGGCTTACAGTCTCTTAAAGCATGAAATTTTTAAGTTTCATATAGAATTTAAATCTTTCTGTCCAAAGAATATTTAATCTTGTTTCATCTTTATTCAATTTATAATTTACAATAATATTAAACCATGACTAATGCAGATTGCAGATCTGTACAAAATACATATGAAAATGTAAAAATGTAGCAAAAACAGACAAAATAAATACGGCTTGAGAAAACTAAACCTTAAACTGTTACAGGGGTACCCACAAAGTATGAGACACTAATGACGACTCATACTTCAATATTTTCTTGCTTGGTCTTATCCTTTGTATTTGGTTTGGAGGACCAGAGAGAGAAGGAGGATATAATGAGAATGGAGGAGCAGAACCCTACCAAGAACATGAGACACTAAGTATTCTCTATCTCACTGCACAAAGTATAATTAGGAAACTAAATGAACTTCAAGTTGTTAGTAATGACCTGAAACCATCTATTATACTAGTCACCGAGTCCTGGTGTAATAACTCTATATGTGACTCAACTATCTCTATTCAAGGTTATGAACAAAGTAGTGAAATCCGACAGTTACCCATCACAATTAGAGAGTCCCAAAATATCAAGATATTTAAAAGAAATCTATCTGAGATGAACTAATCTTTAGAGAATGACCAGATTCCCAGAAGAAGACTGTGGTGAAAAGATGTTGCTGAATGCCCCTAGCGGGAGCTACACCATCTACTCTCCAAGTTTACAAGTAAGTTTGAAGGGATGGAAGGGGGAGGGGGCAAGGAATGAACGATTGACCTGTAAAATGGACTCCAAAAACCTGGCCAAAATGTTAAAGAAGAGACTACAAAAATGTATAAAGGAACACACAGTTAAGAGTTGTTTACTTAAAATTATTATTAAAATATTCTATCATGATGGTTCAACGATACTTTTCCGTTGTGTAACCTTCTCTTTAACTGTCTGCTGTAAATATCCTTTCTTAATCTATTGGTTTCACTCTGTCCTTCCTTCCTAGAGGATTCCTTCTTGTTTATAACTTCAGGTAGAGTTGAATATTTGTGTTTAGTTGAAGAAACCATCTCCTTATGGGAGAAAAGACGAATTGCAGGACTCGGAGAGAACACAGGACGGACATCCTTCCTCGAGTTCGGACTCAAACATCGGATACTATTCAACCAGACTTCATGCTTCTTCGCCCGCTCTTCTCTTTTCTCTCGGATACGTCTGAGTACTTGAACCCGTCTCTCGGAGCGTTTGACAAAGTTTGGTCGCTTTGTGAGTAGAGCGTCCTGGAGGGATAGTTTTGTAGGTTTTGTGACATCTTCTCTAGGTCTACTGGGTATAGTCACACGCGGTCTTTCATTATTGTCTATAGATGCCATATACATGCTCATAATATTCCGGTTTTTATAACTATGTGTTCCTTGACGCCTGTTCTGTGAAGATTCTCTAAGTATCCGGGTACCTATTCTGATAGGGCTCATACTATTTACGGGAAGATAGTAGGCTACGGGTTTGGTGCTCTTCGTAAATTGATTTAAGGATCCAGCCTGAACAAAATGATATTATTCAACATTAAATTTTTCATTTTTGGAAGATTTCTTTTATCATTAGCTTTACCTTATTCGTCCTTGCCTTCCTGTTCTCCTTGTTCCAATGCTGAGTTCTCTGTAAAATATACTCTGAGGTTCCGGAGCTGGATATATTAGATCGGAGAGAGGAGGAGGGGAGGGACGGAGAAATGTCAGATTGACTCCGATCCTGGGATGGAGCTCCCATTAAACTCTCCTCCGTTGTAATGGAATCAAACTTGGCATGAAGATGGATAGTCTCTGTGTGGGATACAATCTTAGAATTCTTCCGAACAGATCTAGAAATATATCAGGTTTAAAGAAAACCTTCTCAATCCAAGTAAAGAAAACGAATCTACGTGTTTCCCGAAATAGAATGAATATTAACTGCATGGACTACAAAGCGACTCGTTTAAATTTAATTTCAAGTTACGCTCCATTTTTAAATTGGCATGGGAGGAAACAGAAACACTACAGTATCTTCCACGTTATTAATCAGATGAAGGTATAAAGAGTACTGTTGTGAATTGGACATGACCCTCTCTAGATGTGAGGGCACTTGAAATTGTGGAGAATTTGGTAACTACCAAAAAATAATAGTTGTAAAAATGATGGACACGTTTCTAAACCCTGTAAAAATATAATTATTACCTTTTACTTTTTTCGCTTATTAAAGAGAGTCTGGAGGAAATATCCGAACGTGATGCTTGGATGTGTATCTCAGGATCTTCAATAACACTGGTGGGTCCTGCTCCGTGCCCTCCGCCCTTATCCGGAGAATCCCGAGACTCTTGAAAGTTCTCCGTAATGGTAGTGGAATCATTCCCCCGGCCGCCAGAGTTCTTGACAAATGTTAGTTTTCTAGTTGGACTCTCCAGCAGCTGAAGAGTTAAAGACTCTGATGAGGGTGAGATTGGATCTTTAGAGAGTTTTCGTTCAATCTTCTCCAAGATTTTTATTTCTCGTTTTAAGTTTTTTAAATGCTCGGTTCTTTTTCTGTTCAGAGCTTCGACATACTCGACATCTCTCGGGGGGTTTGAGGGTCCGGAGGGAGGGATGGGTTGAGGAGGAGCAGATGGTTGCTTCTCTCTTTTCTCAAACTTTTCCTCTGACCTTGTCTTGGACGTTTTCCAGTTCTGCATATTTCCCGCCCCGGAGAGAAGACTGCTGTCATCTGAAACTGGATCATTTCGTTTCGATCTCTCCGGTTTACTGGTTCTAGCAGGGATATTACTACTGTAGGAGCAGGGTTCGGATTGAAGGACGGAGAGACAGGATGCACTAGACTCACCTCGGCTCAACTCACTGCTCATCTCTAACCTAGTTTCCTCGGAGGAGAGTAACCTTGAAATCTTGGATGCAAGATGCTGTTTCATCCTGCACTCGGAGAGGGTTGAGGACGGAGTTGAGAGGAAGTCAATGTAACGTTTTAATTTCTTAAAGAAGTATTTAGTCTGAGTCAGGTTTGCTGCAAGAAGTTCTTTAGATTTCCCGCGGAGCTCTAGAGATATTCTATCTAGGTTGGATTGACCAGGTTCAGATTCTTGGGGTTTCTCCGGGAGGTTGGCAGAGTTTCTGGCTCCAGAGGAACTAGAGGATTTTCTGACTCCGGGTAATTTATCCAGTTCCAGATTTAGAACTGTTGGAGGTCTCTGCTCCGGTACCAGGTGCCCTAAATAAAAATAGATTAAAATATGATACTTCCCATGGCATATTCATTAATATTTAATTAGATGTGGACATTTTTTGTACAGATAATAATAATGTAAGAAATTTCTCAACGTCGAAGAATTTCTTTTTAAAATACCCAAATGTGGTTCCAATTCTTACTATCACATGATATGCAGAAAAGAAGAAAAAGAATTTCAGGATATCTCACAGAAGTCTCATTTATTTATTACCTGGGAGGTATTCGTAACTTGAAGAGTTTTCCTGCAGAGGAAATGACTCACCGGGAATATATTCAAAACTCTTTGCTCGGTCAATCATCTGAACGGACTCCATAGTGCTTGTATCTCCCCCGGTTCCTCTCTCCGCCAACCTTCTCCTGCGTCCGTTCTCCTCGTCCGAAGTCGAGGGTACAGAGCTGTAAACCCGGAGATCTCGCTCTTCAGAGGATTTATCCGTCCAAGCATTACGTCCGTCCTGTTCTCTCCTCCTACCTGGAGCAGGGTTATGAAGTAGACCAAGATGAATCTCCTCCTCTGTATCTATAGAATCCTTTCCACTTGACGAACACGGCTCTGCAGCAATCACGGTTTCAAATGAGTTGCTGATTGATCGTTTAGAAGATTGTCGAGATTGAGAACTCAGTTTAGAACTCTGAGACACAAACTTTGTACTTTCCTTTTGATGATCTTCTGTTTCTATTGATAGATCCTGAAGATGAGCCGGTAGAACCACTTCCTGCTCCTGGTACTGCGAAGAACTGGGCACGGTTTGTGAAGTTCTGGAAGAACTTGAGGAGTTGGAACAGGACTCTTTCCTGGTTTTGGTCTGAAGGGTTAGCTGGACATTACTTGAAGAACGCTTGTTGATCTCATTATCCCGAGATACCTCGGATATTTCTGTCATGGACGAAGATTTGCGGATTTTACTTCGCTTCTTCTTCCCTGCTCTCCGTTTCTCCGGAGAAGATCCAACCTCCGAAGTTGACTTATCGGAGTTTTTAGTCAGGATCACGGGGAGAGAATATGCTCCTTGCTCCATCAACCTCAACTCATCCTTGTGTTCCGTCCCTGATCTTTCCTTGGACTTGTTTCTTTTCTCAAATCTCCGTGGACTACTCGACTTCCGCTCTTTCGAATTTGATCTTCTTTCCTGACGAGACCGCTCTTGTTCGCGTACTTGACGTTGGCGCATTAAACTCTCAGCAAACTTCTTCATTCTTACGTTTGTTTCATCGTAGAAAGTATCCGGAGGGAACCTGCTTCCGTATCCACGTCGGAGATGGTTCTGCTCATCATCCGAATCCTTGAGATACTCTGAATAGTTTCCGATTGCTAGTTTCTCCAGGGTTGAGAGAGACTTGGCAGCTTCTATCTGCGTGAGCTGACCGTCAACATAACCCAGGTCGGATCCGTAATCCCACTCAAGAAATCTAAAAAAGTAAATAAATATATGTTTATCTGAAATATCATTGTACTCCCCCCCCCAAAAAAAAAGTTAACATCTCATTTGGCTAGTTCGAACCATCAAATGAACATGTAAATATATACAACACCTAAACCAAAGTGGAAGAAGTTTTAACATTTTAGAATATTTTCTATACCTTCTGCCAGATACTGAAACTTGACTGGACACAGATTGAACTGAGGTTACCGAGGCTGCCGAGGGCGAGGTTGCTCTATCCGTATAATATCCTCCGGAGCGGGGCGAGGCTGTGCTCCCCGCACTGGTAAATGATTCTTCAAAAGGTATATCTGAGAACGTATCACGTGGTGTTAACTTGAGATTGTTGAAAGCAGTTTTAACACTGTTTATCTTCTCCTCAATTTTATCCGACCTAGGGTTTCTAAGGTTCTGGTTCCCAAACTCCAGGTTTGATGAGTAATTGTATCGTTTCATAAACATCTCTTCATTTAGTTCCCTAGGCGTACTGCTCGCAGGTTCCACAGGTTCATGAGAGAAATTTGTAAACATAAATCCTTCGTTTCCTAAAATATAAAATAAACATAATATTGAAAATATTTAACGAGACGAGATTAGAAATGAGGTTGGAATAAAAACGAAACCCAATAAATACCTTCGGGACTGAAAACAAGTTCAGGTTTATTATCTTCTCTTCTCAAGCGTAAATTTTGGTTCTCAGTAGGACGGGGGGATTGGTTTGGGTTTCCCGCAGGACGGAGAGACTGTTCCAGGTTCTCCGTAGTACGGATGGATTGAGTTGGGTTCTCCGTAGAACGGTGAAACTGAGCCGGGTTTTCCTGAATCACAGATCTCCGCTCATTCCAGTTTTGAGAACTGAGAAAGTTTGGTTGCGAATCTATGCTCTCTAATGTATTCTCAGTCTAAAAATTTTATCCGTTAAAAACATTTTTTATTTCATTAAACTAATAAGCCATGATTAACCTGTGAAAAACATTTTCTAAAATCAAGATTCAGGGGTGTATATTTCCTTGAAAAATAATCCCTCCCCATTTGGAAATGATTTTTATGGGAAAATAAATAAACTTTTGTGTAAAAAGTATGAAAAGGAATGAGAAAAATGTACCCTTTGATGTCCAATTTCACATCCCCCCCCCTCAAATCTCCATGAAGGGGACCGGGGATTAAATTCCTTAAAATATACACCCCAATCAAAATTGCCGTATTAAAAACTTCTGTTATCTTTAAAATAGAAAGATCACAAATTAAATGTTCCATTTTGTATTTCCACCTGAAGCTGATAAAAGTGTATTCCAGTTTCCGGGTCTACCAGGGTTTCCTCTAATGCTCCATGTTCCAGAACCATATCATTCTCATCTACCTCATCCTCATCATCAAACATATTATCTGAAATTTCTTGACTTATTAGGAGAGGGTTTTAATAAAATTATTCTTGAAAGTTTCCGTCCTGATTGCTGCTATCAGATCCTGGTTGATAAGAAAGATAAACCGAAGGCTCGAGAACTCCACCACGGCGTTGTTTTGCAAGATGATGGATTCCCCCGTTAGAACAGGTGTACCGTTCACGATCACAGGCCGAAACCCCTGCCATAAAGTATAAAGATTAATATAAAAATATAAAAACAACATCCGAAGACTCTCTCATTTTGAGGAAACCCAACCACCATCGGACACATAAAACAATAAAAGATGAACAAAATAATTCAAAATAATGATAATAATCTTACTCAAGTTGCTGTTAATACGAAAGAATATTTACAAGAAAATAATTGATTAAAAACATGAAAATCTTCGAAAAAAAATAAGAAAATTCGCAACTATGACCAAAAATCCTCAACTTGTCATTCTTTTAGTATCTCTCGAGGAGAAAAGACGTGTTTCTCCCTTCGTGGATTTAACTTAAAATTAACAATGGAAAAAAACCTTGAAGCTGCTGGTTCTTCTAAACAAGCTGAGTTGACTACGGTCAAAGCTCTACATAAGCAACAAAAAATTGTTGCAAAACAAGCAGTTAAAAATATCGCACTTTTGAACAGATTGAAAATGAGTAAGAAGAAATCCATCACAAAGCTGACTACTCAAGTAAAAGCTGCAGCTCCTAGAAGCAAGAAGAAAAAAGCAAAGAATGCTGCCCTGAAACAAGCTAAAACTGAGCTGAAAAGACTGCAGGATCAGAACAAGCAAGCAAAACAGCGAGCAGCTGCAGAACAGCAAATACTAAAATCTTACGCCAGGAGCCAAACAAGACTTGAAAAGACCCTAAAAAATATCGAAGCTTCGAAATCGGCGAAAAAGACAAGAATCGGCGTCAAGAAACAGAAGAATAGCGACCAGACAATGAAGAACGTCGCAGCAAGAAATAACGCCGCTGCAAAGACGAGCTCACAGGATAACGAAGCCATGAGTAACTCCTGGTTCTCCTAGATAACCAAAAGAATGAGGACAATGGACTATAAATCTCAGTGAATATTAGTGTATAATATAGATCAGTTAAATAAATGTTAAAATAAATTTCCTCACGTGATAATGTTATGTTGTCTTTTATGTCTCATATGAGGTTGATTGAATAAGAATGAAAAAAGCTATTTAGAATTTTAAAAAATCAGTGAATTATATTTCTAAAAGCTAGGTTTAATCTAATCAACCAGTAAGCTACAAAAAATTTCAGATAGGTTTAGTTTATTTTTGGAGTAACGTTGAAAAGAAATAATAATATTTATGCATTGAATAACTTAGTTTGTACAGTTTAACAGGTTTTAATACACAATTAACACGATAAAATAGGGAACAGATATTCCCTTATTATAAATTAAAGTTCACCTCGTTTGCAAGATGAAACTCTGCTGTATGTTTCAGCTTTATTCTTGCTTGACTCCGGGATATCTTACTAGCAGGACCCTAGATATATCAATCAATCAGTTATAATATTAATTTGTTAATGGATCCTTTTTTAATAACCGACTATTTCCGCTCTTCGTTTTTATACTTTGTCTACTTTCTACTATAAAACTTATTTGTCAATTTCTAAAAACTGTTTAAATTGAGAAAAAAGATGTCTCCGACATCGCTGGAACTCATTATTAGGTCATTAGAAAATACGTTGGCAATGCGTTTAAATATTATTTATGAAAACAATTTATACCTTCAAAGAGAGAGGAGAGAGTTCAGCAGGTCTAGCCAATATTAAAATTTCAAAAGTTAAAAGGCTCACAATTTAAAGAAAAGTAAAATCTGAAATGATACGGATTATGCTGGACTAATTTTGAATCTATTTTACAAACCTCTAATGTGAGATCTACGTCAACAACATGGTTTTGAGCCGCTCTACCGACTGATATCTCTCGTGATCTCATCAAATATCTGGAAACAAATCAGAATTATTTATTTTCAAAAATTTATCTAAAAGCTGTTCATAAGTTTTTATACCTGACAAGCCGACCTCTAAGAACTGCAAGGGTTTGATTATCAAACTCCGAGGTATTTGAACCTGAAACCTGATCAACTAAAACCTGCCATTTTGTAACTTCAGCCTCCATCCTTCTAATCTCATGCTTGGCATTCCTCTCTGCACCCATGAGCTCCGTGTTAAGGTTGGTATCTTCCGGGTCCTGCAGCTCACTGTCCAGGATCAACTCCTCTCCGTCTATAAAGTCTAGAACCTGATGTCCTGAGTCAGGTTTAGGCATAGGTCTAACCGTCTGCTCCGGGAGTAAGGAATGAAACTTAAGATACTGCCAATGAGTGAACAGTGTTCTACCAGTTCTATACGGATGAAAAACTCCGGGTTTGGACAATAATAGTTTCTCAAACTCTGATAAACTGACAGTAGGAGCAGAACTTTTTATCCCGCAGTTTATTATTACGTCCTCTTCTTCTCTTGAGAACGGAGTATTAAGCATAATCTAAAAAAAAAACAAGAATTAAAGAATCAAAACAAGGGGGTCCCCTGAAACATAACGTATGTTTAAGAATGTATGTAACTAAATAATTTACCTTGTGTACAACTTCTTGTGGAAGATTCTTCATAGCTTGCTGAGCCAGCTGAGATATCACGGGATCAAAAAGAAGTGTATACCATCTCTCTTGTATCTCCGATAGTGTAAAATGACAGGAGAATTTCACTCCTTTAAATACAAGGTTTAAATCCTTGGTTTGCTCCACCGCAGTTACCAACGCTATATCATCTGTTGGTTTCCACCTACCCAGATCTTTAGTCAATTCATCCTTCCTACCCTTCCTCTTGCGTTTATCACGGATTAGTTTCTTCAATCTCAAATCCGACATTGTTAATGAGTTGGCGAGACAGTTATTATCCAACCCGGAGACAGGAGTTGTAGGTTCGGTCAAACATACTGATGAGTTCCTACTCCTGGATTCTACACTACCCAGAGCTGGAACCTGTATACCCGGAGTACAAGGTTGAGGGGTGCTTGGAGGAATGATTAAATTAGGCTCAGAGATTTCATCATCGAACTTTCTCCGCTTGATGGCTCGTGAACTTCTCCGGGTTGCAGAATCCTCTGGTGACAAGGAAGATTCTCCGAAACTTCGTCGACGAATCTTAAGAATGTTTCGTTCGATAGTTTTTACGTCCTCGCCCCTCCTTCGAGCGGCTAGAGCAGCGGCGGCGTCTTTTTGATCTTTAATCTGCTGTAGTTCTAGAGGTAGTGGACCAAGCAGGGGAGTTCCCTCCACATCAGGATTAGAGGCCATTCTTTCTAAATATAATAAAAGCATAAAAACAAGACAAGTTCAAATTATTGTTAAAATTTTTAACTGATATAGAGACGCAACTAAATTTTCTAAACAAATATGTGTTCAATGCCGCGAAATGGAGTAAAAATACGAAATAAACAAAATTGTCGCGTCTTCCATTTCTTAAATTAAGACAGATTCTATAAGTTCGGATTAGGGGATGAACGGCCGAAATCCAGAAGTTTAGACGTTTAGACTGAATTAAGAATGAAAATGAAGGGTCAGAACCTAGAAGTTTATATTAAAGAATGAAGAGACGGAATCTAGAAGTTTAGATTAAAGAATGAAGAGACGGAATCTAGAAGTTTATATTGAAGATTGACGGGACGGAATCTAGAAGTTTATATTGAAGAATGACAGGACGGAATCTAGAAGTTTATATTGAAGAATGAAGGGACGGAATCTAGAAGTTTAGATTGAAGAATGACGGGACGGAATCTAGAAGTTTATATTGAAGAATGACGGGACGGAATCTAAAAGTTTATATTGAAGAATGACAGGACGGAATCTAGAAGTTTAGATTAAAGGATGGAGAGAAGGAATCTAGAAGTTTAGATTGAAGAATGACAGGACGGAATCATAGGAGTTTAGATTGAAGAATGACAGGACGGAATCTAGGAGTTAAGATTAAAGAATGAAAATGAAGGGACGGAATATAGAAGTATAGATTAAAGAATGACAGGACGGAATCTAGAAGTTTGGATTAAAGGATGGAGAGAAGGAATCTGGAAGTTTAAAGAATGACGGGACGGAATATAGAAAGAAAAATTCTGATTGAAATAGAATATTGTTGATGGAAATGCTTTCAGCTTTTGTTTCGACATTAAAAGAAAATCGTACTTTTTCACATTTATTATCACAGATTAAACAAGTCGAACAGATTAGATTACAGATCAGGATATTCTCGCAGAAACTTGCATTTAGACTCATCTTTAATAATTGGAGAAAGTTTCTCCGTGATTACTCTGCTCCGTGTCCTTCTAGAGTAGGCGCAGTAGAGAAGGACGGATATCAAACAAAACACCATGGTTAGGACTGCTGATACAAGAAGAATTAATTGAACATGTTCTGGTCCATGATTTCCAGCAGCAGGGGAAGATTGTGGGATAGCTTGTATCGGAGAGCAGTCGGAAGGATGTATCCGGAGACTTCTTACATCTTCTACTCCGAACCCGGAGATAGCAAGGACAGAAATCTTTTTGTACTTCTCTGTATCTTGAGCACTTAGGTCTAGTTCTCCGCTAGTGTGTCCGTCCTTCAGAATTCTCCACATTCCTGCTCCGTCCTGCGCCACAACAATATATTGGGCAGGAGATGAACCGTCCAAAAACCATGACACTGAGCATGACGTTTGTTCAATATCCTGGATAAGAATATCTCTAGGTACCTCATGTATACAGGCAACACTGCAACCTTTTCCACACAGCCAGGAGAACTTGCACAGCTCCGGATTCCGACTCATCTCTAAACATTTATCCACCTCGAGACTAGAACTGAGAGCAGAGCATCGAACTTTGATCCTAGTCTCTTCAATGTTCTTCTGTAGAAGATCTAATAAATCTTCCATCTCAGTGCTTCTAGGAGTAAACCCATGAATCGGAGTCAGTAAAACCATGAGGACTCGGATTGCAAGATTCATGTTGATAGATAGAAGATGTTTATACAACTGATACCTGGCTAATCTGACCGATAGATTATATACCTGCGGTCAATCGCACCCTCACGACCGGACTCTCCGGTCAAGACTCAGCGGTCAAACTGTCCCGGTCGTAACGGATTGAGCATTCAGCGTAGTTGATACTTTTTAAACTATAAATATCTTACTTGATCCTTCCATTTTTTTTGTCTTTTTAGAAAGGGGAGAAAGCTAAAATTTTAGTCCCTGTATCTTTGTACCCTGATGGTACCTTTTCATAGTTTGAAATATTAGATGTCTAGAACATAGGGTTGCAAAAGATATAAAGATTTGTAACTCACGAGTTTATGACAAAAACTAACATTCTTTATCAACAAAAGGTACCATATCTTTAATGTTTCTTATTGTGAAACATCACAGATTTAATTTTAATCATTTTAAGAATTTATTACAGAAATCTGAGACAGGTTTACATTTTATTCTCGTATTGTCGGAGATACAAGATAAGATAGATAGAGGTACATATGATTTACAATGCTTCATGCAACAGTAATACTAGTCGAAGTCTTAACTAAAGGTTACATACAAAAATGCGAGAAATTACATGATTTACAGAGTTTGTACTTTGAGGTTTAATATTTCTGGTACGGAGTTAGGTCTAGACCTAGAACCTTCGAAATAAGAGCTCCTGTGGCTTGCATCTCCTCAGTGTTAGTGGTTATACCAATCTAGAAGAAAATTTATTTATATTTTTAATGTTATTATATATATATATATATCTCTGTTTGTTTGTTTGAATATCCGATCATAACTCATGAACCCCTTGACCGATTTTCAAATTTTGATAGGGGACCTCGGGAGAACCATGGGAAACATCTTAGCTTGGGTTTGAAAGTCTAGGTTGAGTTGATCGACTTTATTAGCAAAAATTTTGTTTCCCGGTAAAATCGACATAAGTGCGGGTAAACAGCGGGAGTTAAACTTGAGAAAAATAAGAGATTAAAGGATTTAAATTTTACCAGAGCATCAGCGTGAGAGTAGAACTCCTCCTTGAGACTGATAACTATAATATTCATCTTCTCTCTCTGGCTCTCTATATAGGCAGCAACCTGGATAAAATAGATAATCACGTTAAACCTATCTCTATATAGGCAGCAACCCGGAGAAATTAGGATTATTACCTATTCATAAAACTAAATCTTTAACCTCTAGTAGACACAAATTTAATGGCTAAAACCATGGACAATGAAAAAAACTTGAACCTAGAATTTCACTGTGAACCTGAAAAGAATTGACAACACCTTTGCTTAAACCTTCACTCTGCATCTTAAACAAGATGGAAAATTTGAACCTTAAACCCCTGGATCGACACTGTATTTGAACCTTAAACCCTGGATCGACTATGTATTTGTGAACCTACCTTGCCAATATTGGTATTGTCTAGAGCAGCGTCTATCTCGTCCAACACAAAGAACGGGGCAGGATGGTAACTGAAATAAAAATATTCTGAAACATCTTACATAAAATCATAATGTAACCTAATTATTTCATGATAAACATCATTTATCTCATAGATCTTAAAATTCTGTTTAAAGGAGCTGATCAATGAATAATGTTCTAATTTCTATATCTTTACAACCTCATGTCGTAAACCTTTGATATAAGAAATATCAACGGTCATTAAGATAATGGGATTAGGAATCGGATATTGAGACATATTTTGTGTATTTTAAAAGTAAAATGTGTAGTTAGGTAGGAATGTCTCAACTGTGCTGCCATTTATTCAACAATCACATAACCTTTGTTTAAATATCTCAACTCAAAACAAGGACAATTTCCATTACCTATGAATAGCAAAGAGTAGAGCTAAAGCAGCAATAGTTTTCTCTCCTCCAGATAGATTAGACATAGGCTGAAACCTCTTCCCTGGAGCTACACAGTTGTAGTTGATACCTTCTAGGTAGGGTTCCTCAGGGTTCTCCGGACCTAGGAAAGCCTGAGCGGACTGGTTCCTCGCTAACGCTTTGTAGATCCCGTCGATAGTGTTGCTGACGTGTTCAAAGCACTTGTTGAACAGGTTGTACCTCTCCTGCTTTACGCTTTCGAACTTAATCTTAGCCTTATTCGCTCTCTGACGAACATGATCGAAGTCCTTGTTCGCCTCCTGCAGCTTCTCCCTCGCCTCCTCAAGCTTTTGCATTGCCTTCATGTTCGGGGCCTAAATAAAATATTTAGGATTAATCATTAGCAGAGCTTAGAATCCGGATACAATGGATCCGGAACAGTTAAGGCCCATGGATCTTGATCGTGAGCCATGCGGATCCAACTCACAAAATATCAACAATCAGAAAAAAGTTCAAATCTCAAAACACACATTTTACGTGCAAGCAAATGAGAAATCATGAATATATTCCTTATTGAATCTATCCATCTATTATGACTCCCCAATAACACAAGTGTTACCAGGTAACCACCCCTCCCTGCAACCCAGAGCCCCCTTTTGGAGTGTATGGATCATAGAGTTAGCATGACATGTGCAATGATACTGAATGGTTAATCAAGTTTATACAAAACAAATTCAAGAAAGAACACTTTTTTTGGGGTAAAGTAATTAAAAATCTTAACACATGTTCAAGAGCTGGATCATTTTTTACAAGACGGGTCAGTATCCGGATCCAGATGTGCTTATGACCCGGAACAACCACTTTTTTAAAGTTCAATGAGTCAGAATCCCGGCATGTACTAAGAAAGTGACATCAAAATTGTTCTGAAATTGGAAATTTTTTTAAATCCGATTTAAAACGAGTCTCTGAACCCTTATTCCGCGTTTTTTTAACACTGTCCGTATTTACTGAATTTGAGCCGCGGCTTAAATCTTTAAAAAAACAGTTTCCCATGAGCGCCGGCTTAAATCTTGAAAAATTGAATACAATTTTAGAAGGAATCAACCCTATTTGAGCCGCGGCTCAAATTCTTTAAATTCGGCCTCAGTTTACTTTTTATTTTCTTGTAATATGTTTTAGAATTGATCATATTCCTGACCTGTATCCTCTGTATTGTGTTGGCAACCTCATTGATCTGCTTCTCTAGGTTCTTCTCCACCTTCCTCACATCATCCCCGTCATCCAGGTCCTGCAGGTTATCCGTCAACCCGGAGTAATCAATCTTGATCTTCTCCTCCTTCTCGTAGATCACGTGGCTGGGCTGAGAGCTGGATACCTCGATACTTGGATCATCTCCTGAAACAAACAAACATTTTAATAAATTCAGAATATTTTGGTAAGATTATTTACTTTAAAAATTTTAATTGTAAAAGAAGACATTTCGAAAAATGCTTCGCCACAGAATTTCTTCTGGAATTTTGTTAGCTAAAGACTTTCAATCCTCGAACATCCTTAAAATCATCTCTGGATTGTTCAGCATAATAACACCCTTCAGCTTAGAACTATTTCCCTCAAGACTTCTCATGAAAGTTTACAGACAGAGTTTCGATTAACATGTTGATAATAGAACTTTTCAACTTTTCTACGTCCTTCATGCAAGTTTATTAAACCTTCCCAGGACCAAAATCAATTAAAGTTATTGATCTAAAATATTTTAAATGAATTGACCTTGCGAAGACCTTAAAAAATATCCTTAAATCTGTAATCTTGAACTAACCTTCATCATCAATCTCTTCTAGTCTTCCCTTCTTCATAGGTATCTGTATAGTGTCCAGTTTACACTGCTTTAGTATAGTATGACGGAGTGCTCGCTCAGAATCTAACGTGCTCTAAATATAATTACAAGATTAAAGAGTATCTTTAAGTTTGTGTCTAAGTTTTCAAAATATTCCTGCAGATTACACTAATCTAAATCAATTCTAATTGGTTAAACTCAAACTTTTTCTTTAATTGATCTCTTATTGGTTTTGAGTTAAAAGATTGGACCATTGACACGTAAGTAACTTAAACTCCTATTGGGATCCATCTCAGCAAGAGTTTCAGGCTCAGTATTTTCATGTTTCTTAATCCTTAACTTAAACCAATTTTTCTTTTTTAGAGATCCGGTGCAATATTTCAAACCCAAAAATCTAAATTTAAGAATAGAGAGAAGTGATTGAACTAGGTCCGGCCAGTTCAACAACTTCTCCTCTGCTTCCCATTTTGATTTTGATTGAGCCGTAGATAAATAACTCTCACTATCAACTATTAACAAAAGAATTGGGTCTTTTTTACAAACTTAATTTTCTACTGCCGTTTTCTTTGCAATCTGATGGTGTCAACCTTTGATATTTCAAACTTCGATTATTTGATCTAACAAATTTCAGTTTACAATATCAAAGGTCTACGCCATTGGGTTTCAAAGATAAAAGAATTTGAAAATCAGAACTTGACTCAATTCCGTTCCAATTCTGATTCATTCAACTTGTTTTTTTTTTGTTGATAAAATCATTTAGAAAAAAATATTCACCTCAAGTTGATTTATTTGTTTGCTGATACTAGCCAATTCCTTCTGTACTGTAGAGAGATCTTTCTTAGCACTGTTCACCTAGATTTAGAATGAGAATGAAAATAAGACCAAGACCAAGACCAAGACCAAGAACATGAACAAGAACGAGAACGAGAACGAGAACGAGAACGAGAACGAGAACGAGAACGAGAACGAGAACGAGAACGAGAACGAGAACGAGAATAAGAATAAAAATAAGTAAGACAATGAGACAGGGTGAAATGTTAATAAGAGAAGGATTAGATTGAGAAATCACAGAAGTTAGAAAAGGGATTATATTAATTTGGATAATTCTGATGTAAAAACGATTAAAATAATTTAATATGGACATTGGACATTGTTAAGAATGAAAGTGAAAATAAGATCTTTTAACAATATGTCAACAGTTGAAAGTCTAGGTAAAGAAAAAATCAATAAAATTTCAAACAAAATAAATAACTTTTACAAAAAAGAGGAAAGACAGATGCGTCTTGTAACTTCTTTAGAAAAAACTGAACACTTGTATCAAAATCTAATTTATACTTTAAACCCTGATGTTAAAGAATTTTGCTGTATCATCTCTGTTTGCTCTGATATATTAGAATATTAGAGTTTGAGGTAAGCGCGTCCAGTTAATTTGAAAAATTAGTTTATTTAATATTTTGAATATCTCACCTCATCTTCAATTTTATCAACCTCCGACTTGAGAAACTGTTTCTGTGACTTAAGACTTTCCACAGCTCTCATCTCGTGATCTATCTCTTGCATCTGGGACTGCTCGGCAGTTTTAGCAGTATCCATCTGATCCTCAATATCCTGTACCATCCTCTCAAACTTCTGCACGTTCAGCAGCAGCTGTTCTTCTCTCTTTCTCTCGTACTCTAGCTGTGTACTGATCCTGTTGATCTGGTTTTCATATTCAACCTTCTTCTTTAATCGTTCCTGTTGGGTTCTCAGTTCTCTCTCCTCATACTGACGAATATTTTTTACTCCGATCTTCTTGCAGAAGTCCTTGAAGACCCTGTCCTCGACAGTATTCATCTTCTCCTTTGTGTTCTCGATCTTCTCCTCACGTTTCCTCATGGTGCCCTCAATCTCTCTAACTGCAGGGTTCAGTTTCTCCAGGTCCTCTCGGAGCTTATCCATCTCCACGGTTAGTTTATCAATCTTCTTGATTGTAGAATCTCTATCAGTGAGAGAGAACTTGAGACGAGCCTCTTTTCCTTCAATTTGGGATTGAATTGTGTGAATTTCAGATTCTTTACGAGAGTTCTTCATTGCAACCCTCAAATCCTCGCAGAGTTTCTCCTTCTTAGTTTTTAGTGTTGAAACTTGCTTGTCGTCCCAACGTTTGGCCTTCCTGGCGAGATCAACCGAACCTCCGGAGATAATTCCAGATTTCTGGTAGAAGGTTCCGTCCAGCGCAACTGCGTCGTATCTTTGTCCGTCCTCCATCTCATACGCAACCTTCATAGCGTCCTCAGGGGTCTCGCAGACCAGGGAGTTGTTGGTTACGAACAGGACTGCGTGCTTGATATCCGGGATATCGTACTTGATCACGTCATAGAGGAGCTTAACCCCCTTCACACAGGTGATGTTTCTCAACCTCTCCTTCAAGGGTTTGAACTGGATATAGTCGAGAGGAAGGAAGGTTTCAGGTTCCAACATCTGATCCTAAATTTAAAAAAAAACATTTAACTATGTGTTTTTATCCGTAGAACACCTTGTATCAATTTAGGGGAATTTGGGTTTGATAATACATTCCAAAAACAACATTTTGTAAAACGGATCAAAGATTATATTTTTACATTCTTAAAAATAAAAAAAGGAATTTTTTTAACTTGTTACAAAACTATACCTTGAGATACTGGATACAGAGCCTAGCTGTAGATTCAGTGTCAACAACAATAGCTTCCATATACCGTCCCAACAGCTTGGTGATAGCAACGTTATACTTCTTGTGAATAGGCTGGGACATGTTGATCATCCTGTCGTAGACCCCCGGGAACAGACGCTTGAAGTTCTCTACGATCTCCTGTTTTTTCTTCCTCCTGTTTTCCTCGTGCTTGTCCACCCTGGCGTCTCCGAGCTCGTTCGTGACCTCGTCCAGCTGAGCCTGGAGGTCGCTGATCTTGTCCTTGGAGGATCCAACATCAACATTCAGCTCACTCAAGGTCTTCTTCTGCTCATTGAGCGCCCCCTCACTAGCTCTGATATGATCTTCAAGCTTGGTTAATCTCTTCTGACACTCCTCCATCTCGTGACCCTTGTTCTTGAGTTTACTCTCAATATCCAGTTTCTTCCTGTGCTCGTTATCCAACCTATCCTGGTCAGATTTATGCTCTCGGTTGATCGAGTCCAGCTCCGACATGTACCTGGCAGATTCAGTAGTTGCCTTGTCCTTGAGTTTCTGGTAAACCTCAACCTGGTCATCTGCCAGTTCTACAGACCTACCCTGAGATTGATTCTCGTCCTTCATCTCCTTCTCAAACTCATTCTTTTTCCTCTCTATCTGTCGCAGATTACTTTCAAGTTCCTGAAAACAAGATTCTTATAAAAATGGGGTTTTAACACACATCATTTTAACACTGTTCTCGAATATTTGAAGTGTTGAATCCCTTTTTAAAATTCTGTCTCATAGTCGATCGTCACAATGTATTTTTATTGTATTTTGCACGTATTTTGGTTTTGAAACTTGCAATCTAACCAATAAAGCACAAAACACGAAATATAAAATTTTGAATTATTTGTTTGGTTTTACATTATAAATCGAGGTCAGTAAAGTTTAAGTATATAATAATAATATTTTATTTTTCCTCGAACGCAAACACAAAGAAATATTACGATATCTAATTATTTACCTGGACATCTGATTTATGAGACTCCTGAGCAGTGATAGCTTGGCTTAAACTCTTCTTTGCTCCTTCAGCCTTCTTCAGCATATGAGCAGTCTTCTCTTTAGCCTTGATATAACTAGGTTTCTTCTTAGATATCTCTGCTTCCTTATCCCTGATATCCTGGATTACACGCTCATATTCACGAGTATTCTTACCAGCAGACTTCTTTATCTCCTTGACAGCCTCTTCGGCCTTCTCCTTCTTCTTGTCCACCTTGTCGTGCTCCTTCTGCTTCTGATCAATCTTCTCCCGGCAGGTAGCTATGTTCCTTTCATTGTAATACAGACGGAACAGTTGGAGCTCAACTTGTCTCTCCTCCATGTCGTCCTTGAGCTTCTGATACTTCTCCGCTTCCTCCTTCTCCGCTTTAGCTTCCTTCCTCTCTGCTCCGATAGCTTTCTTCTTCTGATAAGTCATTTTGGTTTCTTCCTCGGCCTGCATCATTTCCGTCTTAGATTTCTCGTAATCTTCTTTAAGAGCTCCAGAACCAGATATCTCTTCAAACAGCGCAGTTCTCTCTTTAGGATTCTTCATAGCAATGGACTCCACTGCTCCCTGGAATACGAGGAAGTTCTTTGCTTTAGCATTGATCCCAATTCCTTCCAACTCCTTGAGATAGTTCTGGGAGGTGACTGGAACATCGTCGATCTTATGATCTGCCGACGATCCTTGGATAGATCGTGTAAACTTCCGCTCTCTGCCGTCCTCGTATTCAAATATAGCCGAGACAGAGGCACTCCTGGAGATAGGTTTACCAACAGATGCTCCATGTATGAGATCCGCTAATCTCTTCACCCTCAGCGGGTTCGTCTTCTCCCCCATCACGAAGGACACGGCGTCCATGAAGTTGGACTTACCGGACCCGTTGGGACCAATCACAGCCATGAAGGGCTTCAAGGGACCTATCTTCTTGTATCCCTTGTAGGACTTGAAGTTGTCAACCTCAATATACTTGAGTTGAACCGCCATTTTTATTCAGTTTTATCTCTTCATAAATATAATTAACAATTCTGAAATTAATAAATTTGTTTGTAAAATTTTTAATCAAGACTAGCAAATAAAACAATACAACAGGGGCTCATATTTTCCATATTTAAAAAGATTTAATTCTTTCAAAAAATATATAAACCCCTGAAATATAATGTATGATTCGTGTGTTAGCTACTGATCTACTTTCTCTCTCTCCGTCAGGTTTGGCTAGAGATCATATTTTGAGCATGTAACATCTCCCTCACAGCACTCCAGCAGTATATCTGTAAGCTGACCGGTGTTAGCAAGCTGTTTTAACCCTGATCCTCCTCCAGGTACCAGCCGACCACAGATAAATATAGCAGGAACCTGAACATATACAAGATGTCAGATTCTTAACTAAATAATAAAATATTATTAAAATGTAAGATTGCTAACTTAATAAATTAACTTAATAATATTAGAAATGTCAAATCCTTTTCTAAATAATTTTATGATACATGTTCATGATACATGTTCATGATACATGTTCATGTTCATGTTCATGTTCATGTTCATGTTCATGTTCATGTTCATGTTCATGTTCAT